CTCGGCGGGCAGAACCGTGATGGCGGGCGTCGATGCGGTGCAGAGCTGGCGATGAGGAACGAGAAAGATTTGGTGTGCGAGCGGGAGTTGCGGTCTGGTGCTTGCCAGCAGGCGCAGGGCGGCCGGCCAATCAGCGGCGGGCGAGAAACTGACGCAAAACAGGCGTTCCAGCGCACAGGCCCCGCTTCTGTTGGATCGCGCAGCAGCTTAGCTCCCTACCAGTACCGGGACGCCTCCGTCATACACAGACAGCCTGCCACCCGCCATCTATCAATAGCTCTCCATCCGCTCACTGCCTCTCGACCCGCCGTCCCGAGCCGGCCCTTGCTCCCACCAGCCTTTCTTCCCACGTATTGTATTGTTGGCTTCGCAGTCCCGCCTAGGCGTCGGCAGACACAATGTCAGGCAGCGGGGTAGGTGTTGCATGTTGCAGCTGGCAATCGCTCGGTATGCGGCAGAACAACACTGACACCACCATCAGGCGAGGGAAGCAGTCTTCCCCACTCGGCAATCGCTGCAGCTTATGAAGGGGAAGCTCAAGGGCGCACAAACAGGCCACGATTTGCTGAAGCGCAAATCCGAAGCTCTCACTAAGTATGCACCCCTCTAGCTCTACACTGTGCTTTGATTCGCGTAGCTCTACTGACCGCTGCTTCTCTCTGCAGACGTTTTCGAGGTGCGACGCAACCAACATGTTTACTATCTATGCTTATGTAGCTGAAACCATCACCAGAGATAACCCGCCGCATCGATGAGGCGAAGCGCAAAATGGGCCGGGTGATGCAGATTGCTGCATTCTCCCTCGCCGAAGTCACCTATGCTGTCGGAGGTGAAATAGGTTACCAGATCCAGGAATCTGCAAAGCAGGCCCGCTTCCGCGTCCGCACCAAGCAGGAGAACGTCTCAGGTGTCTTCCTGCCCCAGTTCGAGAGCTACCAGACCGAGGGAAACAATGACTTTGGCCTGACAGGTTTAGGCAAGGGAGGTCAGCAGGTGCAAAGGTGCCGGGAGACGTATGCCAGAGCAGTCGAAACACTAGTCGAATTAGCCAGTCTTCAGACGGCCTTTGTCATATTAGACGAAGTCATTAAAGTCGTCAACCGCCGTGTCAACGCCATGTGAGTATCGCGGAGCCTTAGCTTATAGTCCTGCCATAGCTGATAGCTGCCAGTGAACATGTCATCATCCCGCGGACAGAAAACACAATTAAATACATCAACTCGGAATTGGATGAGCTTGACCGCGAGGAATTCTACCGGCTGAAGAAGGTCTCTGGCAAGAAGCAGAGAGATGCCGCAGAACAAGAAGCAGCTAGGGAAGCCAAATCTCCAGAAAAAGAGATTGCTACGGCGGAAGCCGGCGAGTCTCGAGATCTCTTAGGTGACGAGGATAATGAAGATGTCATCTTCTGAGCCGCATCTAAGCTCAATATAGCATTTGTCATACGACTACCTTGCTCCGCTTTAGCTCTTATACGTAAGGTAAACCTAATCTCGCTCATGCCATAAGCTACACTCTTGGCTATGACGCTTTATTTCTATCATCGTGATTGATATATCTCCCTGGCAGACAGGCCGAGGAGGGGATCTTGTCATTGAGGAATCTGCCGTGTATATTACGAATGAAATTTAGCTATGCAAAATAAACTTGCGCAAAGGCCCTGTAACAACTCTACTGCCTTTGGTATGTGACCTTCATTGGCTTGCCCTCTTCTCCAATCGGCATGTTTGCCGTGCTTTCCTTGGCCGTGATAGCAAACTGCTCGTCCTCGAATTCGGCAAAGGCGACGTTCCTGATCTTCACCAGGCGAACCTCCTTGAACCCTTCGAAACGCTCGAAAATACTTGTAAGAGCATCCGCATCGACATCGGCGGGGATATTTTGAAGGAAGAGCACTTTATTCGGACGCACATATTCGTCGGGAATTGCTGCGGCTCCAGTCTTGACTGGACGCGCCTTTTCAGCCGCGGTAGGCGGCTTGTTCTTGGCCTCTTTGGCCTCAAGGGCTTCCTTTTGCACTAAAACTCCAATCAGTATATGGGATGAAAACGCCAGTGATATTGGTGACCGACATTTGTGGATCCGCCTCTGCTTCTTATGTTCCTCGAAATCTTCCTGGGTCGCTTTCCGTAAGACAGTCTCATCGCTTGGTGTCTTCGCCATAGCTACCCGGATGGCCTTGCCGTAAAGCTCGAAGCCATTCATATCCTCCACAGCATCTAGGACAGACTTCTGGCTGTCGAATACTATGAATGCCTGGCCCTTGCGCTTCAGGCTGCTCTTAGCGACGATGTCGAGGATGGTTCCATACGGTTTGAAGATGACAGACAAAGCCTCTTTCAATTCCTCGACTTTAGCGCGCTCTTCAAGGTTGTTAACCTGCAATCGTCAGCACGGCGTCACGGGGTGCAATGTGAAGGTGCTGAAACTGCGAGCAACATACATAGACACTATTACGACGAGTTAGCGAATTCGAAGAGAGCCTAGGAATGCGTACGTTTCAATTGGGACAGGATAATCGGCCGGGTTAACCATGCCGCCACCCATCACACCCTCCATTTTGTCGACCATGGCGGGCAACTGCTGTTTGCAAAGCTGTTGTCCCGCGGTGGGAAGTGCGGCAGTCAATCGGAAGCTTCTATGAAGGCGAAGTTCTGAGCCGCGCTAGCGCTCGCTTACGCGCGAATCACGTGTGGCGTGAAGGTGGTTGAAAAGGCAAGTGCAACCGACCGCACACAGTAGTTCCCATGATACGACCTCTAATCGCCGGTGACGATAGAGGCGAAGAGTGGCAAGGACGAATTTCCAATCTCGTGACAGAGCCTTGGAAGTTAGCAGAAGCAGTATATACATAATGATATCCTGTGTTATGCTGCATCTAGACTCCCGTCCTTAGCTAAACTTCTGCCGCCCTTCCATTAACCTTTCGCCTTGGCTGCTCATTGTCAACCGTTTAGTATTAGTCATTCCTGCGCCGAGCTTAGATACGGCAGTAGTTAGTTGAATGCGCCTCTCCGCTATCAGCAGTCTGATTCATTACACGGTCGTTGGGACGGCAACATGGATTGTTCCTTCCATCCTTCATCGAGTTCAACACTGGCAGAATGTCCCACACTCGTACTGCATCTCAACCTTCCACGATGTCGTGGGCCATGTTAAAGCCAACATACTCGCGTTTGCGAGATTCGAGACCTCCAATTGGCCTCAAATGGAGATCGAATACCTTCTTTATCGTTAGCACAGTCGGTGTCGGCGCTTTCGTCGATTTCTTTCTCTACGGTCTTATCGTCCCTGTTCTTCCATTCATGCTCCAGGACCGTGTTGGTACACCGGATGCAGAGATACAAAGCGCTATATCGTGGCTTTTGGCAATATATGCTGCCGCGTCGTGTCTCGCTTCACCCGTTGCTGGAGTGCTTGCAGACAGGCTTTCGTCATCACGTCAACTTCCGTTTCTACTTGGCCTTGTTCTACTATTTCTATCAACAATTCTACTAGCAGCTGGAAAGAGCTTCTCGGTAATAGCTATTGCAAGGTTCCTCCAAGGCGCTTCCGGAGGCACCGTTTGGACAATTGGGCTAGCCCTTCTCATCGAAACAGTGGGACAGGAAAACCTTGGGAAGGCAATTGGGTCGGTCTTTTCCTTTACCAGCGTGGCAGGTCTTTTTGCTCCTGTCATTGGTGGCCTCCTCTACGCTAAGACCGGTTACAGAGGCGTATTTGGTGTTGGAATATCCCTAGTGATCATCGATTTTGTTATGCGGCTTTTTATGATTGAGAAAAAGGTAGCAGCCAGGTACATTTCTGATTCAGCGGCATCTCATGAAGACGGCATTGTCGACCCTGAACAACCCTCCGAATCTACGCCTCTCCTATCCGAACAATCTGATACCAACCTCAGCAACTACCGTCTGCCGGAGCCCAAACTCCGACTAACCCGTGCCTTCCCAATCCTCCTCCTTCTTCGAGACCCAAGTCTTTTGACTGCCTTCTGGATTGGCTTCATACAGGCCTTCCTACTCGGCGCATTCGATGCTACGGTCCCACTCGTTGCCTCCACACGCTATGGGTTCAACAGTCTCAAAGCCGGACTCTTGTTCTTGCCTTTGGCTGCCTTTGATTTCTTTCTTGGACCGGTATTCGGGTGGTGCGTAGATCGCTGGGGCACGAAACTCGTATCAATCTTCGGCTTCACATACCTTGTCCCATCTCTCATCCTACTACGTATCCCCATAGAAGCCGCAACCAATCTGCAACTCCCACATCAAATTGCACTCTACGCTTCACTCCTTGCGCTAAACGGGATTGGTCTTGCTGTCATTAATTCAACGAGTATTGTAGAGTCAGGAAATGTAGTTGAAAAGTACTGGAGGGCGAACGGGGCACTCTTTGAGGGACAGGCGCCGTACGCACAACTCTACGGAATCAACAGTATGATCTGGAGCTTTGGCCTTTCGATTGGGCCGTTGGTCAGTGGCAAGTTGAGGGAGGAGATTGGGTATGGCAATATGAATCTGATTTTGGCGATCATTTGCGGTGTCACGGCTGTGCTTGCAGCTCTGTTTGTAGGAGGCAGAGTACGTATTAGAGAGAGTGGTGATGAGCATGAGGGAGAGGAATAGTGTCTGGGTTTCGCAGTTCAATATGTGGAAGAAAATTTTTGCGTAAGCGATTATATTGTTCGAGGCAGACTAGATAGTTATCACCATGTCTGCAAGAATGTGTATAAAGAGGTGAGTTACATTATGGCAGAGCTCCTTCGCAAAAGCATTTTCCAGACGCGAAATCCGATTGAACGGAAATCCACCCCATGTGAATTCCCAATGTGGCATTCCATTAGACTAGATTTGCCAAATTCTGAACGTACATATCCCGATGCCGAAGTCTCGCCTACATTGAACCCCACTTCGCCATATACTCCCTTGTAAGTTTGCCGTTTTACTTTTTTTTGGTCTATTTATATAACTTAGATTACTTAAAATAGCTATTAAATTCCCTAAGGGCATGTAGCTCAGTGGTAGAGCGCCCGCTTTGCATCATGTATGCGGGAGGTCTGCGGTTCGATCCCGCACTTGTCCACCATATTTATTATTCTGGCCAATTTTTTGGGGGGATAAGCAGCTTTTGCGTGGCCTGTGGTGCTACAAGGGAGTGGTGCGGACGTATTGATGGATAAAGAGCGTCATTCATGGGCAGAGGATAGTGCGGCACGGATACCGAAGGCAAGTAAAATTGACGACGCAGTATTCTTATTGATATGGATAGTTTCACTTTTGTACAGCCATAACATCAGTTCTATAGGAGCACTCATCACTGTACATAAAAAGGAAATATTAATTTAATTATTCTAATTAGTTCCATCGCCTATCTCGGGCAATTATCCTATCACTACCGTTCTGTCCCCAACTGCATCCCATTCATGAACATCACCACAGATGCCCCCTAGCTTCTACCTTACCCTCACAAGATATAAATCCTCTTCTTCTTAGTAGCTCTCCTCTTCCGTCTCAGTCTCAGACGCATGCACGCCATTCCCAGTAGCTTTCCCCTATTCAGAACCACTCATCTCATCATTCCGACGTTCCATCCGCCTCACCATTCTCAGACTCATAATCGCGCGTAAAAGCCAGATTAATCCTTGCCAACCTAGCCCTCAGCACTGCCATACGCTCTTCGCTCGCCTCCGTTTCCTCACTATCCTCCACTTCAGAGTCCGACTCCTCATTTTCATCCACGCAATTACATCCATACCTCTGCTTATACTCGTGCTCTAGCAGTCCTTCCAACTTATCAAGTGCAATATTCGCCGCTTTGAGCCTAGCATACCGATCACTGACACTCGTTCCATCAAAGCGGACCTCGTTGTGGATTAGCACCATGCAAATAACAGTCGACCTCGCGCCCGGGATCGCAGACTCGATCATCGGCATGCATGCAATGCGGAATTCCTTGCAGCCAAAGTTGAGATCAATGAGTCTCCTGAGACGTGTGACCGGATGATTATTTGCAAAGTCATCGTATAGCGACATATCCATGAAGAAATGCTTCATATGGTGATCGAAAAAGCTCTGTACGACGCCAAAATCGAACTCCGAGTCCACGAACATAGCGCCCACATACGCCTCCACGACATCGGCAAGGCACTTCGGCGCCTTGGAGACGGTGGTCCAGTAGTCGACCGCTCCATCCGAGTCGGCTTCCGCGGCTGTGATTTCGGCGACGTAGTCACGGATCTGTGCACTGAGTATTGCATTATTTTGACGGAGGTAGTGGTGGAAACCGAGTTTAACGCATATCGCGGCCAAGAATTCGTTGGAGACCATTGGCATTTTGTGCTCGGTGAGCCACTGTGGGTCTTTATCAGGATATCGGTAGAAGATGTGCATGATGAAGGCCATATCTAGGAGAGAGTCGCCTAGGAACTCGAGACGTTCGTAGTTGGGAATGTTTTCCCACATGAACGCTTGCGATGAGTGGATGAAAGCCGATCGAAGGATACGAGGATACCTGAAATGGTATGGATGCTTCTGCTCGACCTTCTCGGCAAGGTCGAGTTGAGAAGCTGTTGCTTCTGCAATTTGATAATGCGGCATTTCGTATGCAGCATAGTAATCAGACCATCTCTGCATGGTATGGTCCTCACTGTCAACCAGTACTGTGACAGCTTTAACTGCCTGATCCCAGTTCTCCGAACTGAAGTTGTCAGGGTCATTGTGTTCCATGAAGGCGGCGCCGATGAATGCTTCGCAGACGTCGGCGACTGATTTGTCCGCCAGAGAATGTTTGATTATCTTCGGGCCATCCTGCTTATGACCTTTGCCCCAAATCATCTTGATGCCTTCCGGATACCAAGTACGACTATGTATCGTTGGCGTAAAACTGGCAAATGAAGAGGGGAAACATACCGAGAGAATGCCATCGTACGGACATATTCGTAGAGTTTATACTTATGAGCGGTTTCGAACAGGTTCTTATTGCAAAGCATAACCATGCGGCGTACATGGAACTCAAACTCATTCTCATTTGGCTGTTGGACAAAGACGGCAATTGATGTTGCCATCTTCAAAAAACAGTCTCCCATAAACTCTAAGCGCTCATAGTTCGGACCCATGCCGCTCCTAAAGTTGATCTTCTCCTCGCCATGCTCATCTGAGTTTTCTGAGTCTTTGGTGAGGGCTTCCAAAGCAAGAGCAGGACCAATATCAAGGCCGAGGAGGGAACAGGCATCTAATGCAATGAGATAACTATCGAAGCGGTGAATAATGGCCGGTAGTACATAGCACATGGCTACAAAACATGTGGTTAGAGCGGAAATCTTCATTGGTTCCGGGCAGACTACGGTCTTCGGCTTGATCTTGACTTCCGGTTCGTCCATTTCTACTACAGCAAGGAGGTTGCGACGGAAGGGAATTTTTTCCACTTCCACAACTGGTTGGTTCTGTACCCAAACCTTTTCGGTACGAGTCTTGCTCCAAAGACTGACGGAATAATCCAATATGTTTGCCATGAATTTGTGCCGCGGGACATTCTCGGGGACAGGATCTTGAGGACGAAGATCCGGGACAACGCCGAGTGAATAAAAGCGACGTCCACCATCCCATTTATCCACAAAGTATTTATCCCTAAGGAAGTCGTTCGGCATCTCCGGCGTCCAGGGATAATCCCCTTTCCCACAGACTTCATGTACCTGCTCCCAATCGATGAGGTCGTCTGGATTCCCATCCATAGCTTTGCTGGCCTTAGCTATATCGGCTCGTATAGGTACTACCCAGTACGACATTTTTTCGTCGTCGTCTTCGAACTTCTTCGCAAAAATATCGAAGTAAATTTGCAACGTGAGCTTGGTAAGGAGTTTCAATTTCTCCCTAGTGACCGGGAGCGCATTTAATAGTGGCATTGACATCACGTATGAAGGTCGGCCATCCTCTAGGTATATAGGAAATTTTGGCATTAACGGAGGGCAAGCTTTTGTAAGAAGCCCCAGAGGTTGATGTGGCCGATCTAGACCTACGCTAACGTCCACTACGGTAAGGTAAAGACATTCAGGCATCACACCGTAGGCAAGCTGCCAGAATTTTGGTTTGACGCGCATGAGATACTGGTCTTTCTTTTTGGCGCTGATTGCAAGCAAAGCATTCCTCATAGCTGGAAGCTGCCTCGTAATTGTGGGAAGTAGCGTAGAGTCCAATAAGCCTTTAGCTCGAAGCTGCAGACACAGTTCGAATGCGGCTGAGCACTTAGCTATAGCCTTTTTCTTGTACGGTCGTCCCCTTGCAGATGAAATTGGGGAATGCTCGGGAAGAACAACCTCGCAGATAAACATTCCGCCATTATGCGAGACTATGTAGGTCGGCTGGTAGGACATCTCGGTATTCGCGGCCGGAAGAGATCCCACGAAGTGTGCAAGAACCGAGAGACTAGACCTATAGGTCAGCTTGGCGCCGGACTCAGGGTCGGTGTAGCTGCGGTAATTCCTCTCATCTACGAGAAGGCGATCCACATCGTTCCCTGATCCGTCAATAAGTCTATCATTGGGCAATCTATTGCAGAAGTCCTTCATAATCCTCTCCGCAGACCGAGCTTCCCACACTACTGCCTTGTGTTCAAGGTTGTCTTGTTCAACCATGTGTACGTATTTTGAGTTACGGTGCCTGGCTCTGCCTCGTGACTGGACATATCCGATCATCGTATGATATAGGTCAAATCGTACGACAAGATTGCACTGAGGTATGTCTAGTCCTTCCTCCGCAACGGATGTAGAGAAAAGGCAATTCAGTTCCCCTCTCCTGAACTTCGCCACTGTCATGACCTGATTTCGAAGCGAGACATTGAGATCGCCAATATTGGAGTTTACTCCTACAAGAATATCAGTACGTAGGTTGGGACCCCCGATCTGGGTGAAAATGAGGTTTAGGAGACGAGCAGTACTGCGTCGTTCTACGAAGACGATGCATCGGGCTTCCCCGGTCCTCGAGTAATAGAGCTGCAACCAGCGATGGAGTTCAAGGACTTTAGAGCTTAGATGTTCGGATGTTGGCGTGGGAAGGCCAAACTCATGGTTCTGGACATATTTAGCGGCTTCTTTCAACTGGGTTATTTGCTTATCCAAGACTTCAATGGAATGATTGCTTTTCGTCACATTAAACTTTCGTTCCTGTCTCATCTCAATCTTCCGGCTTTCTTCCTCCGAAAATGCAAAGGACCAGAACATATCGGAAGCCCAGGGACCGAGTTCGGAGGCAAGTCCTTTTGACGTTCTGAAGAAATTTTGGAACACAGGGACGTCTCCGTAGCAGCCCCTCAATTCTTGATGCAAAGATGTTTCAAACGGGGCTTTCAACCTCGAATACACTACCACTTCTTCTGTAGGACGACTTATATTGTTTTGAAGAAGGGAAAGGTCTGAAGTCGTGCAAATTTGGCAGTGTAGTAACGTTTCGAGATCCCTCGCGGCTTGTCTTACGTCCATATTTGCATCGACAGGTGAGGCTGTCATGCCGAAGATCTGGGGCCGCTTCCAAGAGTCTGGCTCATTAAGATAGTACTCCTTTATGAGTCTCGCATATGGATGGTTGTTCTTGGCATGGTGGGCCTCATCGAAAATGAGGAGGTTCACTCTGGACATGGTGATGAATGAGTGCATTATGCACTGGACCAGAACCTCGGCCGTACAGATGATAACCATGTTGTTGGCGAATAACTTATTCCAAGTTGACTTTTGCCAAAGAGACGCACCCATTGCACCACATATGCCTTCAACGTTGTGGTCGAGGCCGCATTTCAAGACATTAGCCTGTTGAAATACAAGGTTCACCGAATCTACCTGTTCGGTGTTAGCTTTTGATACCCTTAGGATAGACGGAACCTACAAGGAAGAATGCCGTCTTGGGCGCTTCACCCCTAGTCCTTGATTCTAGCTCTTTGTCGAGAACATGACGCAACAGCAATGTTGCAATATGCGTTTTCCCTGATCCAGTATCAAGTACAGCAATGATGTTCTTGTCCTTTGCCCTTTCATAGAGCTCAGTCTGGTATTCTCGGGATTTGGTGATTTGCGTGCTGGTTACTTGCTTTTCAAG